AAAGTACATGTCACCGCCGAAAGTACATGTCACCGCCGAAAGTACATGTTACGACCGAAAGTATACTTAGATGAAATATCACAATTTTTTTATAGAAAATTGAAATGAATTAATTATCAGTTGACCAAAAAAGTCATTACCGATTGCTTTCAATGTTCGACTTGAAGAAAATGTGGTACGCTTTAAAAAAGGGAAAAATTTATTCTAAAAGGGAAAAATTTAATTTACGCTAAGATTAATTTTGAAAAAAACATCAACGACCCGATTCAAATCTAATTTATTTCGTTAAAATTTTCTCTGTCATAGAAAACTACAAATTAGACTTTCTCTCCATAAAAGGGTTTGCTTTTGATCATAACAAGACATTTGTCCAAGATGGACAGGATAATATCTATATATATATCTATATATATATTCTTATATATTAACATATTCGAAATTCCAAATGTTACAAGTGGATAGAAATATTTTGCGTCATACGAAATCTGTTATAGCGTGTAATTTTCACTTTCCTCATCATTAAAAATTTCGTATTAATTTTTATGCACATATATTTTTATGTGATGCGGAGAATAAATATTTCTAATATTTATAACTAACAAGTGGTCGCTCATTTACTTATTCTTTAAAGATGTGAAATTCGAGGTTCGCTCATTTACTTACTCTCCCCTTCATATTGCGTATAAAAAGTACCATACGTTTAGAATTGTGAGAGCACAGAGTTGCTTTTAGTAAATGTGTAATTTTGATGTTAATGTGAAATGAATGAAAATAAACAAAAGCTACACAAAAAAAGCTAAAAGCCCTAGGTAGCACGAAGTGAAATTGTATTCCCTTAGACCTACATGTTGACATTATCGATTCTTTTCTCTTATCGCAAAACATTGAGTCCGATAGTTCTGCCAATTTGTTACTGGCTCCAATAAGATTAGTTGCATTGTCGCTGTAAATATTTTGACAGCGCCATCTACACGTGATGAAACGTTTTAATGTTCTTATATAAGCGTTAGTTGATAAGTCACCTACACGTTCAAGATGGACTGCCTTTGTAGCAAAACTATAAAATGCTTGTTGGCTTCTTTCCTCTAATTTCGTAGTGCGTCCATCATGATTCAAAATAATCAACCCCTGCATTTATGAATGGCCTTGCAGGTGAAAGTCTTGTTGAACGAAAATTTCCTATTATTTGTTGGCATAGTTTTGGCGAGCCTTATTGCATTTCATTGATTCTATGATTTTCAATAATTTGTCTGAAAATTGCCAACATCTGAGAGTAAGCGTATGTGTTAAACAACACTTCTCAATAATTGAACATATATTTGTATAATCTAATGGTGCTTTAGAGAATGGTGCTTTATGAATGTATTGTCTAATCGCGCTTTAGAGAAAATAGCGTATTTGTTCTCAGTAATTTGTAAAAATTCCAAACATGTGAGAATAAGCGCCCACACATTTGTTTACATTTTACATTTATTACACCCCCATTTACAACTGGAAGCTAAGGATGTGAAATATTAGTAATATCTTAGTAATATCTTAGTAATATATAAACTGGGATTATCTGGGAAAAATGAAAATCTCATATTAATTCTTTCCATATATTCATACAAGTGCTTGAAATATAATATATAATCTTGTATATATAAATGCATAAAAAATATGCATTCATCTCCCCTTGTACGTCTCCTCAATAGTTTTATACAATTTTTATAGGCGTGCCATTCGATTTTACCCTATTTTGAAAAAATAAAGATATCTGACAATAATTTTATTACCGCTGATGGCCTGTCTTCATTCTATATTTGCCGACTCCTTAGAACATGCTATTTATAATTTGCCATCGTGTCCATTTTCCGTTGTTTGTTATAAACGATCGTTAACCGAAGCCACGCCTCTCTCATTGACTCATTTACTCGGTGCGTATATCAATCAGATAGAAAAGAGCATTTTCCATTTGTGAAGCACTCGTATGAACTACGCCCAGTCTTAGAATTGAAGCAAAATTCGTACATTATAAACGGGCTCTCCTCGTGACGCATAATACTTTTCAATGTGAGAGGAAATTGCTTCAAGAAATTGAAACAAACCGATGGTGCCCATGAAGCTGTATCTCTGTAAAAAGACAGTATTCCAAGCAAACTGTATATTTTCTAAGGCGTTCTTGTTCTTTCAGCGATTATAAGGATCCTAATTTGGGGCCATTCAAAGGTTTCAAGCGATTTCACTTTAGGCATATCAATTAAAAAATTCTGCAAGCAGCGTCTTAGAATTGAGTGTTGAAAGGTTTGAATTTTTTTAACTGTATACGCAAAAGAATCGCACGTTGTGGAGTATGAATTTTCGAACGGACAATAGATTTGTAGACATTTAAAGCTTTCTTTGGTGGGAGTCCATTTTTAAATTGGTTAAAAGTTTGATAAAATTTGAGCCTGTGTAGCAATTTTCAAGATTGTCTCGGTAATGGTCACGACGGGTCAAACTTGAGTTAATTATTCTACCTAGAAATTTAGTGGGGGAAGATTGTTTGATGTTTGTGCTGTTAACTGTGATGTGGAAAATTTTTTTAGAAGTCTTAGCAAAACGAATGACTTTTGATTTTTCAGGTTTGAAAAATAAATTTAAATCCGCTCAATCTTTGTAGAAACGATTGGATTTGCTATTAAGATTATAAACTGCTTCTACTAACGATTTTCCAGCAGAAGTAATTAAGAGATCATCAGCATATTGAAATAAATGGGTTGTGTTGTCCTGTAATGGATGTAAGTCGGCTGTGTATAGATTAAAAAGTAATGGACTGAGACAGCTACCTCGAAGTAGGCCTCCACAAACTGAATTTGAGCCCATCATAAGAGTTCGCGAAAAAAGGAAATTTAGAATCCACAGTCTACAAAGTGACGGTATTTTAATATCAGTTAGAAATTGACCAAGTTACCCTAGATCTACACAATCATATGCTTTATTGATGTCTAAACTAAATATAACTACCTGCTTACTATTTGCTTTGTCACTTGCTATGGTGAAAAGAACCTCGTTAAGATAAATACTGGAGGAAATGTGTTTCTGATAAGCATAGGATCTAGAGGGAAGCAGTTGTGAGTTGTGCAGAAATTTAGTGAGTCTTTCTTAATTTTCATTTGGTTTGTGATTTCTAAAACTAGATTCAGGAGGGATATAGGCCTGAAATTTGTAAAGTTTTCAAGATCTTTTCCAGCTTTAGAAATGGGTACAATTTTAATTGTACGCCAACCTGTAGAAAAAGAATTAGTCATCCGGCGATCATTTATCGCAGACAGCAGAGCTGAAAGGCTTGAAACAAAAAGAACATTTACCATTTTGTATTTAATGCCGTCATCGCTGCTGTAGATTTCTCCTTTAATTTAAGGATATTTAAAAGATATTCCAATGAAAATGTAGAGATGTCTTCCACGTGCGAGTTAAGCGAGGGAATTTTGAGAGCATTTGTTGTGGAAACCTGGGCTTTTAGCCATTCTAGGTGTGTTCTTCTCATCCTTCATATTCATTAAACAGTCTCCGTCTATTTATATTTGACTAATAATATTGTGAGACTTTATTTCTTGAATTGGATTACAATTTCTAATTCTCATGACGCATTATTACTATTTAGTGAGGCCATCAAAAATTCGATTTTGTTGAGAAAACTTTTACCTTCAATTTTATCAAAGCGTACCTAAGAAGAAAATTTTTAATTCATTATGATTTAGTGTTAAAAATTCTTAAAAGTTCAATGAAATGAAAAAATAGACTGATGTAAACCATATTCAGTAGCGTTCGTCCTTGGGCCAAAATACGCCAGTGTACCAAATTTCATTAAAATATCGCAGAAATTGCAACGTAGAGCTTGAACACAAATTCATAAGGGCAGACATTGGACGGACGGACTAGCAGATAGACGGACAAAAGTATAAACGGACAGACGGAAAGGCGAAGAGAAAGGCTCATTTGTAATTTTTCCGTCCATAACCATAGAATGATGCGTTTGCAAGAGGGAAACTTGAGAGTATATACATTCCTGATCAGCATCTAATTATAAATCGATTTATGGATGTTATGGTAGGTAGCCAAAGAAGATTTTTCGGTGTAGTAAGCCGTTGAAAAAAAGATTTCCAACTGTTTCCTTCCTTAGAGACTTTATAGTTGTTAAAAAAAAATATTAAAAAAGTGTATATTTTTACCATTTTATTGCTATCAAAATAAATATGAATTTAAATAAT